AATATTCATATTATGATTTCACTTCAATATGCGTTCTATTCTCTCAACCTATTCTCTCTGCATGTTCACTGCAGCACAAACTACAAAACTACTCTAAAATAATCCTGCAGCCGAAGTAGCACCTTTTTAAACCGCTGCAACAACAATTGAACGTTATTAGGCTTCACCATTCATGAAAGTGGAATTTACTGCAGAACGGTTGTGCTCAATTGCAAACTAATTACTGAAACAGTTGAAACCTCAATTAACAAACAGCAGTTACATATGAACAGGCTTTTCGTATCGTGTGTACGCTATCTTTAAAAAAAAACAATTTTGTTCCAAGTAACGTCACTCTCCTCGGTTGGCACCGATCGTTGGTGTACGTCATTAATCGTTGAATGCATCTTGTCTAATCAGATGTCTGCTGGGCGGAGAGGTGGAGCTAGCAGTAATGAATAAAACTTGAAGTACCGCACATTTATATTCAGACAATAAAGGCTCGATTTCAGAAAACCAGTTTGATTCAAAATCGGGAGATTTTCACATAGTCACCATGGTCCAGTGGTCAGCTTGCGAGCGCTCCGCCATCAGTTCCCTGTGGAGAAAAATCGATGTGGGGGAGATTGGACCCCAGGCTCTGACCAGGTAACCTGCCCATTCACATACATCAAAGTGTTTCTGCATGATCAGCTCTTTGTACCGTTGTTAAGAAAATGTCTTTACAGATATTCCTATTCTTATTCCTACAATAACATTTTTTTTGGAGCTTTATATCCTGACTTTGTTATTAAGTTTGTCAAGGTTCATTGTGTCTTTCTTCCATTTCTGTGTTGTGATCATTTCAGGCTTTTGATTGTATATCCGTGGACTCAGAGACACTTCTCATCATTTGGCAACCTGTCCACCAACGCCGCCATCCTGGGAAATGAGCAAGTCGCAGAGCATGGCAAGACAGTGATGGGAGGGCTGGAAAGAGCTGTGAAGAACATGGATGACATCAAGAACGCCTACACCGAGCTGAGCGTGATGCACTCTGAGAAGCTCCATGTGGATCCTGATAACTTCAGGGTAGGTGACCATCTCTGACTCTACCTGCACTCACTCTAACTATTCTTTTATTAGTTCTATAAATGCATCCCTGTCTTTCTGTTTCCTTCACAGCTTCTTGCTGAGTGCATCAGTGTGTGCGTGGCTGCCAAGTTCGGCCCCTCCGTCTTCACCGCTGATGCCCAGGAGGCCTGGCAGAAGTTCCTGGCTGTGGTTGTGTCCGCTCTGGGCAAACAGTACCACTGAGGCTCAGGAGATGGAGGTCCAGTCAAATGATGTGCAGCAGTCCTGCAAGTGCTGAAATGTCTCTTCTTCTGCCTTGTAACTGTTGCCAAACACAAACAATAAAACTCAATTTCAATGCATTTTTTGTGCCTGTGATCATTTGTAAAAGTCAAAAACAATGTTTTTATTGTTCTTTTAGAAATTAAAATGAATTTCTACAAAATTTAAACAAGCAAATAATGATATGAACCGTTGGTGGTTTTGTTGCCTAAACTCAATTTAGTGAACGGTTTAAATAACAGCTCATATTCACTGTAAATGATTATGACCCATAAATAAAATACACATCTGTGAGTGAGCACTTCAATCCACAGTTTAACAGATTACATGTAATGTTTTTCACATCACATCGGTTGTGTGGATGGATGTGTGTTGAGTCTGGGGTTATTTTAAGCAAACAAAATGTAACAGTTCAGAACAGAGCCATTAGTTCCAAAAGGTGCAGTATGTGGTGATATGGGATGGGAGCCATGTGATGTGTGGCATGAAGGTGACATGTTGTGGAATAAACTAATAATCATGCTTGATAACAGACTTACTTATTCTTTGGCTTACAAACATATTTAGTAAAGCAGGTCTCCAGCACATAAACAAATTACCACATGTTAGTCAAATTAAAACAATGTAATTTAAACATTATCAATAGAAATTAGGTTGGAAGAGGTTTTGTCAAAACCAAAATTGAGAAAGTAAAGCTTGATTAAGTGTATTTACCATCCCGAGCTACACTCGAGGATCAAGGATCTTTATTGTACCCATTAGGCGATTGGTAGTACAGACTGCAGTACTGACACAAACCTCAAGCTGAACATAAGACATGGACAATAATTATAAAATAACACATTTAAAATAACATAAAAACGTTAAACTGCAGGGTCTCAATAAATATATATATATATATATATATTCTTTTAAAAAGCCAATGGCAGCAGGGAGAAATGTTTCTCTGTATCTATTTGTCCTGCTCACAGGCAAACTGACAGCAACAACGTAAAACTACAACACAACAGATGGCTACAGGGTCACCCGGAATTCCACAGGCTGGGTTAAGTCACTCAGGGTCGTTCCTGAAAATGTTGCTCTTTCACATGGAACCTATTCCTGTTCCTAAATGACCATCAACCTGACCATTGATGTGTTCCCATCGCGAGGTGATGGGTATGAAAAATGAATCGTTGATAAATTAAATCATTTTCCACAATATTACGTTCCACCCTTATTTAGTTTATTCTGCTTGTCATAAATACATGAGGCAAACACTTATTCATTCCCCAAGACCACTATAGGTTCCCTGAAACCGTGGCTGTGCTGTGCTATACAAGCCTTGACCTCTTTTTGTCAGCTGGTAAATCACGTATCACTGTTACTGAATCTTGAAAACAACAAAAGCATAACATTTATCATTTGTTTATTTCAGCGGTTAGAAAGAAAACACACATTTCGTGGCTTCAGGTCACTTGAGGACAAGAAATAAATTATAGTGTCTGAGCCAAACACCACAAGGCGACTTTGGTGATATTGAGAGTCTTGATGATTTATTTGGGCGGAGGGAGCCTTGAATATTCAGATATCGAGGCTTAGTTTAATCTAAGTTCAGCAGCTTCTGGAAAGAGACTGGTGGCCAAGGGAATTTGAAAAGTTGAAGAATAATGTTTGAGTGAGAAACATTTTTACTGTCAGGGACCTTGGATTTAACAAATGAATCCAAATGTATCAGTGACTGACCATCTTCATCATCCTTCAGTGTAAGCTGCTGAAATCAGCCGCCCTCTGACTCTCTGCTGTTCTCATCGTTGAACAGAAGGTTATTATTTTTTATTGATGACACAGAGGCCATGGTGAAGTGGACAGACCAGGAGCGCAGCGCGGTCAGAGCTGTTTGGGAACAAGTTAATATCGACGAGGTTGGACCGGACGCTTTTGCAAGGTAGAGGATGTGACTGTGAACAAATTTCATATCATGTTTTTTTAGTGTAGAATACATGGAATACAAGTGTGTACTTTGTTGACTGAAAACATTTGGATATTATTTGTTTGTTTGGAATGGCAGGATTTATTATATCTACTATTTGTTTCATGTTAAGCTCAAATCCCTTATTTGCCAACTGTAAGTTGCTGTCTTTTTTATTTTGTGTAATTAAAATGTATTGCTTTATATCCTCATCTGTGTTTACAAGAGGCTGAATTAAAGAAATGCAGACAACATCCCTAAAAAATGTGTGAACTAAACAGAAAAGTTGTATTTGCTATAAGTTAAATAAGTGTGTCCCTTGTGTTGACAGAGTGTTGATCGTGTACCCCTGGACAGAACGTTATTTTGGTTCATTTGGTGAAATATTCACAGCGTCTGCTGTTTTGAACAATGCCAAAGTGGCAGCGCACGGCAGATTGGTGCTGAGGACACTGGATGCATCAGTGAAGAACATGGACAACATTAAAGATACATATGCTGCTCTGAGCCGGCTGCACTATGAAAAACTCCATGTGGATCCTGATAACTTCAGAGTAGGTCTATCACACATATTTATCCAATATAACTCACAAACAGACACAGATTCATAACATGTTGTGGTTTTGTTCACAGCTCCTGGCAGACTGCATCACCATCGCCGTCGCCTGCAAACTCAGGAGTGCCCTGGACCCTCAGGTCCAAGCGACCTGGCAGAAGTTTTTGTCTGCTGTGGTAGATGCACTGGGGAGTCAGTACTACTGAAGAGCTGAGCAACACATACACAACTAAATAAAACTTGCATTCAAACACCCTGTGTGTTTTATTAGTGTCCTGTCATCATACAAGGTTTCACTCATCATTTCAATGTTTCTTCAATATGCGTAAGAAATGCGAGAAATGTATTAAAAAAACTGTTACAATCTTGTGTGTTCCTTTACTTATGTCTTTGTGAAGACTATTTTATGCATAGACCCTACAGAGTGAGGACAATTCTGGAAAATGGGGAAATTTTGACCAGTCCTCACTTTTTCAATGGGCTGTTTGAGGGTTAAGATTTGGTTTTAGGGTTAGAATTAGGTGAAGGTTATGGTAACACATTTAGTTTGGATGGTTAAGGTTAGGTTAAGGGCCTAGGCAATGTAATATGTCAATAAATGTCCTCACTAGGTGTAAGTACAAACACGTATGTGTTTGTGTGCGTATACATGTATATACACACATGCATATTTACATATATACATTTAAATTCAATGGTTATTACGCTTATTCAGATAGTTAAAATGTTATGTAAAAGTTGAGAACCATGGAAAGCTCTTACACTGTCTGAGGTACACATTATAATACACACTCACACACACACACGCACACATTGTGTCTCCATGACTTCAGAGGACACTACATTGACTTACATTGATTTCCTTGAGACTTACTCTAAACCATAACCTCAACCTAACCTTTTGGGAAATACAAACTTGAACGCAAAACATGTCTTCACTTTCAAATTGAAGAATTTACCTTGGCCTTCCCCATAATGAGACTGTGCAAACAAATTTAGGTCCCCACAATAGAAATACCTGGACCACACACACACACACACACACACACACACACACACACACACACATACAGTTGTAATGGTTTCTCCATCAGAGTTGGTTTACAACAGATGAGTCATTATAAACAATGCCAGGTATATACAGATGTACTTAAAGTAGAGATGCAGTGAAAGGCAGGAGACAAAGGATGAGTTCGCAGTTTTATTGTCTTGGGGAAAATGATGAGAAAGTAGTTTGCAAGAAAAACACAATGTTTGTTTTCCTTAAAGAAGAACATGAGCAGGGTATACAAAACAAACCTCCTATTAATGATTACAGTAAAATATGCAGTCATGGGCTGCCCTCTAGCGGTGGCTGTTGAATCATTCCGAATCAGTGCTCGGAGCTGGACTGGGTGACTGCCAACGCCTCTGACGTCATACGGTGAGAAATCACACTTCCCTTACCAAGAAACTGAGAAAAATTACAAACAGAAATAGATTTCTTTCTGTTTCGATTTATAAATGTTGTTGGCACTTTTTTATATGATAGCACCCCTATCCACAATTTCAAATAGTAAATTATTGTATTTTTTCCAGGTGAATGATATTCGTCATCTTCTCATGCACATCATTACAATATTCATACAAAATCTCAATAGTCATTTTAAACATGAGTCAGTACAAACATGTTTTTTGTCAGGGCCTGTGTGACTGAAAGGGTTCAAATGGTTTGAGTTTATTCAATGAGAAGACGAGGGAGGAAATGTTTTATATTGTATTATAAGCTTAGATAATACACACAGATTTAAACAAAGATTTTTAAACTAACCGTGCAAGAATCATTTTCCATCCATGCAATTTCTCTGTCATATTAATAATATGAAATACTCATTGAAATACTTATTTTTCACCGCTGTTAGACGATACATGGATTATCTTATCTTTATGGCGTTGGTAGATGCTTTGGTTAAAAAAAAGTCGTATTTTACCTGTCAGAGGTGCAGAGGTTAGTTTAAACCTCCGCAGTGACGCGTCTGTGCGTGCCACCATGTGTTCTGGCCGCCAGAGAGTGTGTGAGTTTCCAGATGTGCAGCAGCTGTACGTCTCCCCTCGTTCTCCACCCACGTGGAGTCAGTCTGAAGTGTCACCGTGAGCTGCCGTGACGTGAGCATAAATAAATCAACAAACAGGAGTGGAAACTGATTTGAATAAGTGACTTACATGGTCCAAGTCCTTCGTGGATCAGTCAGTGGTTCTCCAATTCGCCTCCACTGATGGGATCTCTCGATTATAACGAAAATAAAACAGACAGAAATTTCAGCCACGCGTGCTTCTTGGATGAAAACATCCACTGCACACTTTCCAAACTCGCTCTTGTTTCCCTTCCAGTTGATCCACCCTGTGCAGGCGCCTGCTCCGCTTCAGATAACCCTCACAAACGCACCGTGCGATGGCGGCGTGCTTCTCGTGACCCTGTTCATCGTGTTGCCATCAGCTGATAAACAAATCCTTTGATATTAAATAATCGCAGAGACAAGATTTTAAAATCAGAATGAAGGCAGCGTCACACACGGAACAGATGCAGCTTTTCAAACACCTGCTATCTTCGCCACATCTGTTCTCTGAATTATAATATGTCGATTCTGACCAAATCATTTTGGTTTATATTTGGGTCCATTAAAGTTTCGTTGAAAAGTTTGTCATGAGGGAGAAATAAAAAATATATAAATGAATAAACAAACAAAGAAATACTTGAAATGGTCGTGTTCAGTTTTCATACCGAGCCAAATAAAAGCTCTCAAAGTTCATTTCCAGTTCGCCACGAATTTTACAAAAGGCAAATGTGTTAATCATAACATAAAGTTTACACTGAGGAGCCCACAGCGTTTACTGACCAAGTAAATTGTACACTATACCAGCCCATTTCAATGCATTTCAGCAGGATTCATTCATCTCTGTCAATCTGAAAATATGAATAAATGTTCAGATGCAACAAATCTGCCACTGTGTGTGTTTAAGAAGATTTCCCTCTTGCTGCCAGATATGTTATAATGGTTTTATGTCAGGTTAATGGTACCTTAACTGCTTCCCAAAACACAATGTAGTTTTACATGAAACAAAGGCTACACAGTCAAATGTACGTCTCTGAAAGTTGTGTTCATGTAACATCATCATGCATTATAGTCTACTCAATTTGTAAAATTCACATCATTTTCGAAATGTCATGTTGCATCATAATAATAACAACAGCAGTAACAACAACAACAATGTAATAATAATAATGACAATTATTTAATAATGGAAGAATAATTAACATTGTGTGTGAGTGAGTGAGAGATGCTTCCTTCTGCACAGACTCACACACAATATACCAACTCTCTCTCTCTTACACAGCCACACACACGTTTGTACAGATCTTTTAGTGAGGACACTCATGGCATAATGCATTCCCCAGTCCCTTACCCAAACCCTAAACATCCAAACTAAATGCCTAACCCTAACCTAAACCTAATTCTAACCCTAAAACCAAGTCTTGACCCCCAAACAGTCCATTAAAGGTAAAGTCTCAAAGTGAGAACTGGCCAAAATGTCCTCACTTTGACAAAAATGTCCTCACTCCATAGGTTGAAGGCTAAAACTGGCCCTCACAAAGATAGCCGTACAAACACACACACACACACACACACACTCACTCTCTCACACACACACATTATCTTATGTATGTTTACATCTTAGCTTATTTTAAATTATAGCCAAAAGCCTAGCCCTAAAGACTTTGAGTGTATATATATATTTAATAACGACAATACTACTAATACTACTACTCATAACAATAACAATAATAATAACTAATAATAATAATCATCAACATCATCAAATTTTATTTTATTTAATTTATGATATGAGAAAGCCGCCAGAGAATGACAGACAATGAAGAGGAGACCAACATTTGGATATTTCACATTTATTTCATTTATTTACCAAGGCCTTTCTTTAAAAAAAAAAAAGAAGACATTTAGACATTGCTGTGCAGACATATGTGGTCAACATGCAGTCGCTCCTCACTGCATTTTAACGGTATCTCTCGGACAGAGCCAGAGCCAAGTTCTGCAGGAACTTGTCTACGGAGACGTGCACCTCAGCAGTGAAGTCATTGGGGAAGTACATGGCCATGACCAGGATGATGTTGTGGGCCAGGATCTGTGGTTGTGCAAGAAGATGTCAGCAACAGGTGAAAAAAATGCTCAGTCTACATTGAAGATATAGGAAACATGGTCTGTGTCCTTTATAAACGAGAATATACCTTGAAGTTGGCAGGGTCCACTCTGAGCTTGAAGGCATGCAGCTCGCTGAGTTTGGTGAGGGCTCCTGGAAGATCATCCATTAGTCCCACAGCTTCTCCAATAGCCGCCATGATGGTGGCTCCATGCTTCCTCACCTGTGTGGATTCAGGAGTCAGGTCCACCCAGTGGGTGAAGTAGGTCTTAGTCTGTGGGTTAACAACCAGCATCCTGCCAGACGGGGATCAAATGCATAAATGATGGGGAAAAAAACAAGTGACAGCATGTACATTTAAAAAAACAGAAGACTTGTACCTGCCCAGAGCCTCTGCTCCAATTTCAGCAGACTTTGGAGCCACTTTTTCCCAGATTTCCATCACCACGCGCTTGTCTTTCCCAGAGAGACTCATGTCTGCCTTTTCTTCAGGATTTTCACAACAGAAAGAAAAAAAATGACTCTGATGTGACGATGCTGTTGAGGTCGATTGCCAACTGTCTTTTTTTATATCAAACCAAACTGTACCGCACCCATCAACCCAGACCACACCTCTATCATAGAAATTGACAGAGTTTCCAAAGCATTTCTTGAGATAAATGTAACCACTCCCCTCTCTATTTATCCATTTGACTCAATGATCTTGTATCACTGAAAATGTAATAGATTTGACTTTGTCTGCACATCCACTTAAAGAAAAACCTTGACATACATTTTATGGAATAAATTACCGTAATAATTTCAAGCTGCCTAAAGAGCCTTTTTAATGGTTTATACATTTAGTCTTTTAATACATTTGATCATTCAAGAACTCATTCATGATGGAAAATGTATCATTATGAGGATAGAGCTGTTAAATTAAGGCACAGTTATTTTCTTTTCAACATAAAACTTAATAGCCCATGTGACAGGAATATCTTTCATTGTGACGAAGGCTGAAGAGCAACAAAAGAGAGAGGATAAAAGGAGATTGTTGACATTTATTTAAAGACATTATATAAACATTTTGAAAATGTAAAATCAAACAAATATGCATGCTTCAGGTTATTTATTAAAATTTCATTAAGTAATTTTTCAATTTATCAGCCTTAGTGACAATCCACATCTTATTCTTATCAGTTTATTCCAGGCAGAGCTCCCCTGCAGGTGACAACCCAACTTCTCCTCAACTCTGGACCAATCAAATGCTTCCAGGCCTGAGAGGTGTGGCAATGGGTAATTAATAAAAACCCCAGGAAAGGCAGGTCTTTGCTAAAGGTTTGTGATCAGAGGCTATCTCTTTTTTTCTCTACAGAAAAAGCTCAAGAAAACCTTAACGTCATCACCATGGTCCAGTGGTCAGGTCCTGAGCGTGCCGCCATCAGTTCCCTGTGGGGAAAAATCGATGTGGGGGAGATTGGACCCCAGGCTCTGACCAGGTAACCTGCCCATTCACATACACATTTATATACACATAGCTATATGTGTTTCTTTCTGTTCAGCACTCTGTAATTTATAGAGATGAAGTAATTATTATTATTATTGTTGTTGTTGTTATTATTACTATTATATTATGATAGTTTTCTTGGAGCTTTGTATCTCCACATTCTTGTTATAGCGTGTCACTGATCAATGTCTTTCTGCATTGCATTTATCATTTCAGGCTTTTGATTGTATATCCGTGGACTCAGAGACACTTCACATCATTTGGCACCCTGTCCAGCAACGCCGCCATCCTGGGAAATGAGAAAGTCGCAGAGCATGGCAAGATAGTGATGGGAGGGCTGGAAAGAGCTGTGAGGAACATGGACGACATCAAGAACGCCTACACCAAGCTGAGCGTGATGCACTCTGAGAAGCTCCATGTGGATCCTGATAACTTCAGGGTAGGTGACCATCTCTGACTCTACCTGCACTCACTCTAACTATTCTTTTATTAGTTCTATAAATGCATCCCTGTCTTTCTGTTTCCCTCACAGCTTCTTGCTGAGTGCATCAGTGTGTGCGTGGCTGCCAAGTTCGGCCCCTCCGTCTTCACCGCTGATGTCCAGGAGGCCTGGCAGAAGTTCCTGGCTGTGGTTGTGTCCGCTCTGGGCAAACAGTACCACTGAGGCTCAGGAGATGCAATCTCTCACATCCCGCAGAGAAACCTTTCCCGAATGCATCAAATAAAAGACAAATTGAAGACATGTATCTATGTGTGATCATTTATTCATGGAGGTGTGATTCTTATTTAGTTTTCTACTCATTGGCTAAGTGCAATTTTTTATTATAATTATTTACATAAATTCAATCAAATAGCAAAAAATAAAAAAAGAACAGCTAAAATGATGGGATAATGATCCATCGTCTGTCACTCAGGACAAACTCCTCTATCCTCAAGTCCATACAATCAGTAAATGTTTGCTTAATGCAGGATTTAAGTAAATTAGGTAGTATTTTATACTGACTTATCTATTACAAGGAAAATACTTTTGCCCGCTATTTTGGTGTATTGAAAACTGTGCAGTTTGATATAAACGGGTGTGGTCATCTGAAATAAATGATACCAGAGCATCAGAATTCTGCATCATGGGGGCAGTGGCTGGAAGCCAAACTGAACCATTCTCTAAAAACATGGCTGGACAGGAAGGTGTTTAATAGAAATCTAAGAATTTAAATTAAATGTGAGTCTTGGCTCTCAGTGGTTTATTATTTATTTTTATATGGTTTTATTTATTTATAAAAAGAAATGAAGGAAGAAAGAAAAAAAGAAAGACATTTGTGTTGGCTCTCTGTGGTTTTTTATTTATGATTATTTTTATATGGTTTTATTTATTTATAGAAAGAAAGAAGTTGGCTCTCGTATTTTCTTATAGTTTTAGTTATTCATAGAAAGAAAGAAAGAATGTGCTGGCTCTCTGTGTTTTTCATTTATTATCATTTTCACAAAGAAATAAAAACATATAGCATGTGTTGGCTCTCTGTGGTTTATGAATTATTATTATTTTCATACGGTTTTATTTATTCATAGCAAGCAAGCTGAGGGTAGGAATGTTATTGCCGCGATCGCTTGTTCCAGTCGACCACTTTTCAAAGTGACACAAAACAACTTGAGGAGCACAGTGATGTGCGCACAGACTTTACAGCTCTGCCTTAAAGTAGAAACTGCTGTAGTTTAGTATCCATGCCGAGTGTCGGTGTGAGCTGTACATTAATACAAACTTCACTTGTTAGTTGGCTGAAGTTCACTGTTCGCTGCTGACTTTGTTTTGTGTCGTTAGGCTAACGCCAAGTTAGCTAGGATGCTAATATGATGCTAAACCCATCAACCGGTTTACCAGATGACCGCGAACCCATGTACAGCCGGTCGCAGAACAGCGTGTACAAAACTGGCGATAAAACCAGCCCCATTAGCGTCATACTGGTGAGCTCCGGCAGCCGAGGGAACAAGCTCCTCTTCCGGTACCCTTTCCAGAGAGCGGCCCAGTGTCCGTCATCTCTCACAGGTAGGAGGGCGAAGCATTAGCATCAACTAGCGGCTGTCAAATACCTGAGATTCTGTGGTATCAGAGGTTTTCTCTCACTAACTCTGGACCTAGTGATAGTAACACTTCACAGTCTGGTCCAGCCTAATTCATCTGCTCAGCAATGTGTATTGTCTTTATACAGTGCACAGATTTCCAAGTGGCTGTAATCGTTCTTTGCGCCTGCTGTGATTGTTGAGTTTAGAATGACCCGCTACACTGATTATCGAACTGAAGGAAAATCAGTCAGATCAAAAGTTCCTCAATGTTCTTATGCGGATTTAGACTGTCTCAGTGCTGATGGTTTGACAGACAAGAATCTGTCTTTGCCCACAAGCTTTGGACAGTTGTGTGAATAAACAATGATACACAATTAATATGACTATTGTTTTGTTGTTTTAAAAGCAGTGTCTTTTTTCATGTGCTGCTTTGTCCACACCCTGTAAAACACATCAAGCTGTTACACAAGTGGAAAACCAACTGAGATCTGACAATGAGGTGTCATGACATCACAAGATAACTTAGGAGTCAAACATTATATGGAAATGGCTGAACACATTGGAAAAGACCACAACAATGATATCTCATACCATAAGAGCCCTGAGTTTGACAGGAGAAAGTTTCATGCTGTCTTCGTGGTTCTCGACTTGACCAAATCTTTAACTGATGTGTTATTTCTCCAACTGGATTCAACATGTTAACTTACACTGTTATTTCTGTCCACAAGCTAAACAGCGGAGTCCGTATGCACTGAACACAACTGGGGATGGTCTTGAAGATCAGGATGGCGACTCGAGGTATGTGTTGGCTTTCATCTAATTTCAACAGATTTGTAGTAATAATTCAACTGACTGCAGCCCCTTCTGAGATCCACATGACTCTTACTTTCAAAATGTATTTCTTCCTTTTTCTTCACCTCCCCAAAGAAACTCTTTGAGGTACTGGCCCATGGTTAATGTAGCTCATGGGGTAACGGGGTTAGGGTTTGGGTCTCTTGTTGGTCTTGTACTAATTGGTGACAATTTAAAACATATATCACCTCACTCTGTGTTACACTTAAGGTGTAACCCGAGCCAGTGATATTAATGAACACTTCAATACAGGGTTAAAATACGTTATATAAGAAGTTTATTTTTATTTTTTAAAGCACTGGTATTGGATCGGCACTCAGTATCAGCCGACACACAAAGTCCGGTTATTGGAATCAGTATTCGGAAGGGGAAAATGGTATTGTAACATGTCTAGCCACACGTGGGACCGCTTGTAGACTTTTAACACGTCAGCCCATGAGGCGTAATCGGATAAACTCTGGGACAACACCATCAAATTTATTTTTTCCCCACTGACCTCATTTCAACCAGGCTTGTGTACTCCAGTTTAACAGGTTGATTCATGTTAAAATATTTTGTCATGACAGTTTGACATTTACGCTTACATGTTCACATAAAGATTTTTTGTTTTTTGTTGTTAGTCACCCAAAATGACATAAACCCTTGGACGGGGTTAACTGGAAGTTCGCTTGAATCAACATGCACACCAGCAGACTGACATCGCGGTATCACATGTTTGTTCGGATTGTTTTAATGTGCATTTTATGCATCCAGCCCAATTGTTTGTTGCATTTTCCCTTTTGTTTGCTTTTTTCTTCTTTTTTATGGCCCAATTCGCATTTCAGGGAACAATCTCCACTAACTGATGAACAGTTGGTAGCAGGGTAAGACCAAACCATTCTAAACCACCTTTCCTCCGCTTAGATCACCCCTGTCTTTTTTTTTTACCCCCTTCTTTCCTAATTTGTGTCCTATATGGATCCCCAACCCTAATCTAAAAAGAATCCTCGTTAATAGTTTGTAGCAGATCCAGTGAATCAGTGTGTGGTTAATTGGGATTTCAGTGTTGCTTTCCTCTGTACCGTGTGCCTTTTTGAAAAGAATAAAATAAATAAATCCAACATTTTATCACAATAATTACATTTAAAATAATTATAACTTAAGTTTGAATTAATATTATTCTAATTAACTCTACCATTATAAAACAAAATCGAAATCAAACTACAAAACCTTCTTCTCAAATTGTTTTAGGAAGGTAAGTCAACAATGAGTTATAATTTTATACTGAAAGTCATCGGCTTGATTTTCATCCCTTTGATTGCAGCATGAGTTACTCCAGTCAAACCAGCATGAGTCTTTCACATTCTATATACATACAGAAACTTCACTTTTTCTGCCAGGAGAGCTCTTCTTCTTTTCTCCTCTCCAGTAGCCACACAAGCCTTTTTAATTTATACTCTAACTGTCGATTTATATTACAGGCAGATGCATCTGATTAATGCAACCCCTCTTGTAGACAGGACTGTGAAACATGTACACAAACTGAGCTAATTTAAACTTTCGCACTTGTCCCAGCTGTCTCTGTGCTCTAACCTCTCTTCCCACCCTGCACACTTTCTCATCGAAGCTGATCATCCTTCTTTAAGGTTCTCTGACATCATACTCGCCACCATCCTGGCCACCAAATCCGACATGTGTGGAAAGAAGTTTGAACTGAAGATAGACAATGTTCGGTTTGTGGGTCACCCAACTCTCCTCCAGCATCCACCCATCATTCAGGTAGGAATAAATGAGGCCTTATGAAAATATGTAGGGTAATTCTGTAAACTAAAATGTCAGTAAAGCTGCTTTCAGACATGCACTGAAGTCCATGCATTTTCTTGAAATGTCCCATCATAGTGTTGATGCGTCTTGCCATCTGGCTTTGATGAAGCTATGTGGTCATTTATCACTGATCCTCTAAATGATTTTCAGCTTTGAATTTTGGCAGATCTTAGCCTCAGCAGTGCCCCCTACTGACAGGTTCTTCTTAGTCTGAAGATTTGCTGCCTGTGTGGCAAGGATAAAGGTATTTCACTGGGGATAGTGAAAATAGAGAGAATGACAAAAACATGTAGAAGCAATGTGGTGTATTTACAAAGTCTGTTTGGTCAACACTTGCCCAAGAGAGTCTCAACAAAACAAAACCTTTCAGCAATCTCAAACTCGGTTGATTTTTTTGCTGAATTATTGTCCTCTGTTGCACATCATTGTACTTGTACAGCTTTTATTCAACATTTATGATTGGCCTTCTGCTAATGCTAACTAATGCAATCTAATACAGGTTATACTTTACAACAATTCAGCTTATTATGAGAACTTTGAGAGAGGTGTTGTTTTAAATGTATTGTCATTTTAGAATTTGTAGTTTAAAGTGCTGTTGAACTGCAATGCATTGCATGGACAGGTGTTATTTTGTCCAGCCTATAATACAGTTCAACAGCACCTTAAACTGCATCCTCCAAAATGACTATACAGTTGAATTAAAAGTAGTTTCAGTAAATAAATTAACAATATAACCTTCATGAAGGAGTCCTGTATTAGAACGCACTTACCTAATAAACTGACTTGTCTTATTTGCTCATATTATTATAAACCTTATTTACATTATGCTTCATTTAAAAATATGTCTTCTTTCAATGTAGGTTTCTAAAACAGATCCTTCACCAAAGAGAGAGATGCCCACGATGATCTTGTTTAATGTGGTTTTTGCACTAAGGGTATGAAAATACTTTTTTTTTTTTTTTATTGTTGAGAATCATTGTGACATTTTGATGGTTGGTGTGTTTGTTACCATAGAGAGCTATCAGCTAATATAATAGTACAGAGTTTATATGTTAATATTCTAATATTACAACTTAATTAAAAACTTTTGGCACAATTAAGTCAGCTGAGTGTGGGTGGGACACATACTTGTTGTGTTCTGTTAATCTGTGTGGTGTGTGTGTGAGTGATAATATTCCACTATACTTTATCTATGAGAGCATTGGAACTCTTAGGGCGGCAGGGCCAAGCAATTATGCTTCATCATGCCGGCCTACAAGGCGCCGCCTGTTCCTGCCCATGCTGAGTCACTGTACCTTGTAAGTGTCAGTAAAGCTTAGATGGGGGAAATGCACACTAATGTTTTTTCAGTGATATCTGCCTAGTAACTGAGGTGCTTGAACCCTGGCAGATCATAAAAAATACATTCTCATTGAGTGTTTTCCCAGTGTGGGTCCAGTTTAGTTCAAATGTTTACACCAGCAAGTTATTTTATGTCAATCTGCTTGTTCTTTAATTTAGTGATCTTATTACACAAAAAGTACCACCAGAGCTTTTTCACAATGCAAAGAGATCACGTCGGTGATGACGATGAGCCCAACATCGAAAATAACAATGTTTCATCAAAATTCTTCTTTTAAAGTTTCATGCTGTTTTAATTAGCGTATTACATGCTGAGATCTTTACGTCACATGAAGGTCCATGTATGATTGACATAAATGTTGAGCTACACATGGTGTTGTAAATGTAGTATAATGTGTAAGCATTGAGTTGAGTACATACAACATGTTTTTATATTTGCTCCCTCTCATCTTTGGCCTCTGCAGGCAAACGCCGACCCCTCCGTCATCAGCTGCATGCACAACCTGTCGCGCCGAATCGCCATCGCTCTGCAGCACGAGGAGCGGCGCTGCCAGTACCTGACCAGAGAGGCCAAACTGATGCTGGCTGTCCAGGATGAGATCACTACCACGACTGAGAGTGAGACGCACACTCCTCACACCTCAGACCTGACAGCAAATTTACTGCAGTGTCTTTTTCATTATAGAACAATGCAGCTTGTCAGTATTTCAACTGTATGGTGATGCGTTATTGTTTAATCACTTTAGTTTAGGAGCTCATTAACTAAAAAATAACACAAGATCCCTGTTTTTCTTTTCTTTGACAGCAGCGGATGGAAGCCCCCAGTCCCCATTTAGACAAATTCTTCCTAAATGTAAACTAGCCAGGGTCCTGAGGGAGGCATATGACAGGTGTGTGATTAGGCTTATTGTTGTATTAATTTGTTTCACAATTTCTTTCTCTTTTCTTTCCATACACAGTATATATTGTCCACATAGCTGACTCTGATATTGAGGTGTGTACAGCTAAGATAATGCAAGAAGTGCTTAGTCATGTTTTGCAATATCTGTCCATAAACTGATGTTTGTTTCCTGAAATTTTGATTTAATAATTACATTTTTAATGGAAAATAATGATCTTATGTTTATTTATTAAGAAAACACTGTCATCTGATGTTAATATTAATGATGATATTGATGATGTTTCAGCCTTTGTACAACTGGTGTTGTACGACTACATATTAACAACTGGCTGGAGGTGAGTTTCTGTTTACCCCACAAGATCCACAGGATTGGTGGCAACCACATACCCCCAGAGGCATTAGAGTGCAGCCTTAAGGCCATAAGGTGTGTTACAGTACGCTTTTTTTTTTTACCTCATCATTATATTTGAACAGGAGAAGACTATCTTGCTTACACTAAATCATATAGGGAATTTTTTCACACTCTGAGTTGAAGCTTTTAAAATAACACCTCTGGCAGCACCTCTGGCAGCAGCTGCAAACTATTATGCTAAAAATGTCTTTTCACAAAGAACCACAGATACTCCACCCAGCAGCCCCCTTCTCACAGCATAAATACATATCACAAGTTATCATAGAGGAAACATTTCCTGATGTTATATTTAAATGAGGCTCCTTTTAAGCTATTATGTGTAATTTACTATTAGTTGTTAGTATTTTTCCCTCTGTTTCTGCCCATAAATGCAGAACCCTAGCGTTCATTTCTAATTTAATTCGGCTGCAAGTCCTTAAAATTAGTCGTTGTCATCTTAGAATGGGACAGCTTGAATATCTGAACTTGATCTGGTTAAAGAAATAATAAGTAATGAAAATAAGTAATAAACTCATGACTGTAACAGACCCTATACGTGACCATCTCATTTAACAGGATCATTATAATTCTTAATTTGTGTTATTGGATACACTCTTAATCTACTCATTTGTTATGTCAAAGTATTGACAGAGCTTTCCAAACATCATTCACAGGTGATTAAGAGTCTTATTTTGTTAACTCCACTGCTCTTGACATAATATTTTATTGTCTGTGGGAACCATACTGCCACCTATTGTTTCCTCATCTTTACTACAGTAGAGTTGTGATCAGCATCTGCTTCTCATTTTCATTCCTGTATTTTGCAGCTGAATAAAAAATGCATAGGTCATTTTTATTTCATCATATTTGTCAGTTTGTGCTCTGGGATATAATTTTTTCTGTTCATTGGCTAGCACTAAAGCTGCATCTTATATTGTTTGATCCTCCAGACCGTATCACGCTCTGTTGCTACTGGAAAGTGAGAAGGCTCTACTCAGTCAGCTTCCTCTGGACTGCTCGCCTGCAATGGTCCGTCTCATCAAGACCTGCTCAGCGGTGAAAAACCTGCAGCAGCTCGCCCAGGACGCTGACCTGGCCTTACTCCAGGTGCAGACCAGTCGCACATCATTGCTGCTCTTTATAAGACAACTCATCTTACACATACTTATTTATAATCTAAAAAAATATTCATCGCAGCATACAATGACTAAGCTCATTCAGTGATCACAAATAAACAATTCAGTGATTGTTTTGTATTTCAAAACATTTTCTTTTAAATGTGAATCCTAAATAGCAATTCATGCACGTAATACTAATATTAGTGTCTGAGATGTAATACAAACTATACTAGTAAAGGAGGTTACTCTGTCGATGGTGTCTTACCACCATCTAGTGGGCAATATATATACATTCAGTACCTCTTCAAAATGAGAAGTTACCCTTATTTTCCTTCAACACTTTTTTATGGTTTTGATGCTCATGTTTAGTTGCTGTTATTTCATGTCATTGATTGTATTTGCAAAATATTTCCCACTCAGATCTTTCAAATCGCTGCACACTTGGTTTACTGGGGCAAGGCAATCATCATCTATCCACTGTGCGAGAACAACGTGTACATGCTGTCTCCCCATGCCAACATCTGCCTGTGAGTGTCCCTGATATGTGACCGCCAGTCGTCTCTACTGGTTTCTACACAACTAATGACATAATGATAATAAATAATATTGCTGTGCACCCACCTAGCTTGCACTTCAGCATGAGTTATTAAATAACTAGAACTCTATACAATAGACTTTCCTTTACAAGGCTATGGAAAATGTATTCAAAATTGTTGTGTTAATGGTCAAGCTCTGTGTTGTGGAATAACATGTTCTGTCTCTCCCTGGACAGATACTCACCGCTGGCTGAGCACTTTGCTCAGCAGTTTCCTGGTCATGATCTTCCAACCATGTTAGCCAAGTTCTCACTACCTGTCTCACTGGCTGAGTTCCGAAACCCCCTGGAGGCTCCTGCACAGGAGGTAGGATTATTGATATGTAGTAGTATGTTAAATATAATATTAATATTACAAAGGACTGGTTGTGACCGAGTGAGACAACCTCCTTGGCTTTTATTTTGTCATCATCTGTTTTTTCTTACACATAATGACATCATTTGATTTTAAATAAAAAAACAAATGAAGTGACATTATTTCCCAGTGAGTCCATCATATGTACAGGGCTAATACTATAAATGTAGATGGTGTCTTGTAAAGACAGGCCCATTGGATGTTCACCTGTGACCCATCGAATTTTGGCAGAGCATCAGTTTGAGCATCAGGGATGAATTATAAATGGCAAAGGGACATCAGCTCCAGCGTCTGCAGCTTCCATTTTTTATGAGAACAAGATCCGAGCCGTGGTTATTTCTTCTGCCTCTATTTTGAGCTTTTGTGTTCCCCACGACTGAGTTAAAACATATTTGACCTGGTTGGGCACATGAGCGTGTTCAGCCTCACTGCCTCACTGGTTTGATGTTTGTCCTCGACTCCACTTGTAACGGCTATGCTTGACTTGTAATTTTTGCTGCTCTGCCCTTGACCAGGCCCAGCTGATCCAAATGGTGGTGTGGATGCTTCAGCGCCGCCTGATGATCCAGCTGCACACTTATGTCTGCCTGCTGGTACCGCCGAGTGAGGACGAGCCTGGGCTGAGGGAAGAAGACCCTCCACTGGCCGCCAGAGTAGGAGGCCGAAGTCTCAGCACCCCTAGTGCTCTCAGCTTCGGTTCCCCAAGTATGTCCTCTTTCAGCACGCTTCTCTGCCACTTTTCTTTCAGGTGTATCAAATACATAATCTTTGTCTGTGTGTCTGTTCTCTGTTTGTAGCCAGCAGCGATGATATGACCCTCACCAGTCCCAGTATGGACAACTCCAGTGCAGAGTTGCTGCCTGGTGGAGACTCTCCACTAAATAAAAGGATGACGGAGACGCTGCTGGCCAGCCTGTCAGAGCATGAGAGGCAGGTTATTCTTAACATCCCTGCAGCACAAAACCCAGAGGATCTACGGATGTTTGCCAGGTAACCAAACTTGCCTCTAATAAACATATAT